AGAGAGAGAGAGAGAGAGAGAGAGAGAGAGAGAGAGAGAGAGAGAGAGAGGGAGAGGAAGAAGAGGAGGAGACAGAAGCTCTCTGTGGTCACTTAGAATCCTTGACAAGTCACTCTGCCCCCAAATGTAATTAATTCAGACCTGATGTCTCATGTATATTTTGTAACAAATTATTCTCAAAAAATAGCCATAAAATAATACAAATTGAAAAGAAAATTATTTCATAAACATTTTAGGTGAAGACTGATAGGCACAAAGCCATGGTATCTCCTCTATTTCCATACAATAAAATGCACAAAATTGCTTATTTCTATATGTCAAAGAATGAATCGAGCTGGATCTAATAAAGGATTTCACACAATAATAGTTTAGAATTCAACTCAAATTCTAAGTAATATTATTCAAGTTAATATCAAATTAATGAAATGTAACATGTATGTATGTTTGTAAAGCTTCCATGAATTAAGAGATATAAAAATACTGCCACTTGTCTCACAAGCGCAAGGTCCCGAGTTTGATCCCCAGTTCAAAAAAAAAAAAAGATATAAAAATAGAAGATGCCTATCACTGATGTGATGCTGCTTGATCAAGAAGCTGCCTCACAGAGAATGTCATCACCTTATTTATTAATGATTAAAAAGGTATTACATTTGATTAAATGAAATCACGCTGACTCTGCTTACATCAAACTGTGTGGCCAGCTGATTTGGGAATAAATTCTAACATGCTTGGCAACCTCATATCTTAAGAGTGTCAGCAAAATATAGGTTACTTACTGTGATATTAATCTTTGAATCTTCATGGCTTATCAATCTCACTGAAAAAAAACATAAATCCAAAGTGAGGCCAAAGCAATCCTCCAAAATCTGCCAGTATATTTGTATGTTTAAACATTAGCTAAAGGACAAGTTCTGGGGCAAATATGCACCATAGTGCTATTCAGTTTCACAAGTTGGTTAATACTAAACAAACACATTTTGCAAATTGTCTTATTACAAGGTTATTTTCTCAGATTCCACAGGTCAGGGTCAAAATCTGCTTCTTTCCAGCTTTACAAACGTGCTAACCAATAATATTAGAACTGAAATAAAGATTTAATCAAGAGTAACAATACATTTTCAAGGAAAAATATTTTGAGACTAATTTAATTCATATTCAGTTTTTCAAATGTTACCTCACTCTTATAAACACACATCAGAAAAATGCTTTGTGTTGATAATGCTGAAGTACCTATTATTTCCTTTAACCCCATAGCAACCTTAATAAGTTTTTATTAGATCTAGTTTTGAAGAGGAAACTGGGCTCCAGGATATTTACATCAGATTTTATCTACTTCTTCAACAAAGCTTTTCAGTCAATCTAAGGCATATAGTCAGTTAGAATAAAACACAGCCACACAAAGTACTGATATTCAAAACAATCCTTTAAATACACATACTTAACAAATATGCAGTCTTTGCTATGTGCCAACATTCCTCTGAATGCTGCAAAAATATTAACTTAGTTCATCTTTATCACAGCAGTGTGAGGTAGGTTTATTATTATTATTATTATTATTATTATTATTATTATTTTATCTTATTCTGATGAGAAAACTGAGGCAATCAGAAATGGCAAACCATTTTGCCAAAGTGAGAAAGACGGTTAAGTGATAGAAATCGGATTTAAGCCTAGGCAGTCAGGATCCAGAATTTCTACTGTTTGACCCATGCAGGATAAATAAGACCCACCGTGTGCTCTTGAGAACTTCAAGGCCTGGAAGGGTAAATGTGTAAAGAATGCATCACTGTCCAGTGTGTGAGTGCTGCAGTAAGTGGAGGAGGCAGAGGTAGCACAGAGGAAGGAAGGGTGGGCTATACACAGGCCAGGCTCTCTCTGCAAGTAGGCAGCAGGGTGGGGCTCAGATCTGAGTCCTTGAATTTGGACTCTGTCTTGACTTAGTGTGCTCCGCATTTCATTGAATGACCCATATTTAATAAAGAGTGTGGAATTACAGGGAGGAAACAATAAAGCACCCTGTGAACTAAAGGATAAAAGCTGAGCTTCTTTGAACAGAAAAAAAAAAGTACTGTTTTCTGATATATAGTTGTAAATAGACACGGTGTGATCTAAAACTACAGTGAATGTTTTAACTTTAAACAACTTAATTACAGTAAGACACATTGCCGTTAATCCCCTCGGCATACCACCCCCCCTTACTTCAAACACATCCCAGGATTCCTGCCATTTCTGAAGCAGTTCTGGAATACCTAACATGAGTGTCTTTAGTTGTCCTTTCATGGCTGCTTTGATATCCTGAGTGAATTCAAAATATTTATCGTTCATGGTCATTTGGACTTTGGGGAAGAGCCAGAAGTTGCACAGCGCCCCAGTGAATAAGGTGGATGAGGACACACTGCATTGTTTTCACAAGACTTTCTTTCTGTTAGATAGTGCTTGGCAGCAACACTCACCATATTTTTTAATCACACCTCATAAAGACATTTATGCGAGAGGACTTCCAGAACTGCTTCAGAATGTGGCAAGAACAATAAGTGTGCGTGAAGCAAAGGGGAATATTTTTTTCAAGCATTAATGGAAATGTGTCTTTTACTGTAGTATTTTTAAAATTTGAACATTCACCTTATTTTTCAGTAACACCTCGCACGGATCTCTCTCCATATATATATATAACACATGGCATACAATTGAATATATTTGTATATAGGGACAGAATTCTTGTGTGTATCAACTCAACTGCAAAGCTCCCCAACTTCTCTAAGGTCAGTAAGAATAAAACACAGCCAAGTGTTAAGAAGTAGAAAGAAAACTTAAGGACTTGGAAGCATTGATAAGCACTATTTTGTGAGAATGATGTATGTTCCGTGAATACACACTGATTGAATGATTAGTGCATGAACACAGAAAGGCAAAATTGAAAAACAGTAAAACCAATTCATTCCATTATTCATCTTTAACTTTAGTGACCATTTTGATGAGGAGAGTGAAATCAAAATATTTAGAAATCTATAGCCAGGTGTGGTGGTGCACACCTGTAGTCCTAGCACTCAGGAGGCTGAGGCAGGAGGATCACTGTGAGTTCCAGACCAGCCTGGGCTACATGGTGAGTTCCAGGACAGACTCAACTACATAGTGAGACCTTGTCTCAAAAAAAAAAAAAACCAAA